TACACATGCTGGCTATTCTGTTTCGCAACATGTTTTCTATCTATGGCACGTCTATACTGGGAGTTGTAGTTTTAAAAGACGTTTTCGTATTTCCCATAATAAGAAGTTGCCAGTATTAAACTGTGTACATCCCTGGAGGTTTAGGGGGTAGGAAACACTCACATTTAAAACATATAATTAATAAATGGGTGAAAATTGCTTGTGCCCATAATGGGCAGCATTAATATATATACACACATGCCAGCTAAGGTCAGAAGAGCTTTATTTAACAGCTGGTCTTATGTTTGTGACCCCTGTTGTTAATTGTTAACATTACATTACATTACATTACATTAATTGATAAGCCTGAAACATGCACTTGTCAAGGTTCAGAGGCACATTTTGCAAATATGGCAGTATAGCCATCGATCAGCTTAAGATAAGATATACTTTATTGATCTCAAGTTGGAACATTTGCGTTACATCAGCATGTGTAACAGTTAAATATGCAGTGGTGTTTATTTGTAAATCATTTAGTATAATCACACAAATTCTGTGTTTTATATTCAACAATTCTGTGTTCTTTATTTATTGATTGTTCAATACCGGAGATTAAATATCTACATACATCTTATAAGAGTATAATACATTATGTATAATATCAGTTAAAAATAAATGCTTCAACATATAGTTAACATTGCTGGAGGTATGCACACATATTGATAGATGTCTTGTAATGCACTATTGAGGAACCTGCGTCCCAAGTTTGTCATTCAATGCATAACTACACCATAGTTGTGTAGGCCTATATGATATGTCAATAAACCTTAGAAAATCATGAAATCTTGAAAGGGATGTGCAAAATAGTCATTATATACAGTCTTTAATGAACTATTAGTAGAGAATAACGGGTAATTAATATACTTTATAGGGATCCTATTAATATCTAATAATAAAAATAATGAAATTCAATAACATGCTTTAACCACTAGGTGTCCCTTTATATCAGCTCTGCACCGTTATGGTGTAAATACAGCCTATCTACCAATTGGATCAAATATAAAAGTCAGCCGAATTAGTGTTGATACTGCAAGGAGACGTATTGTGTGAAAAGAAATGTAAGATGTTGTTTAATGGCTGATATATTTATGATCCACGTCACGTTTTCAGTTCCTCATGTTTGTCTAGAAGTCTTCTCATCAGGGCTCTATAAATACAGAACTACGGCAGATATGTCATATTGAATGCAGCCGAACCGTGTATTACAATGCCGGTATGTGATGACTTTCAAAGAGAAAAGCAAGCACACTCGGAATAAAGTATTATTTTATTTTTAAAAAAGTTTTCGGTCTGTTTCCGGTATTTGTTAATGACGATGTGCTGTGAGATGTGAGACTGGAATTGCACAGGGGAAAATCACGTATCTTTAGATACGGATTTTGTTAAACTAATATGTTTTCGCTGTGGACCAACACTATACATTGACGGGGAAGGGGGTAGCAATACAGATAACACCATTAAACAGTTACACAACATAACATAAATAATATCGATAGCAGCGTCCCTAGCAACCACCTTGGTAATAATGAAAACGTTATGGACGCAATTTCCTGAAGTAATCTTCGTAATAACTAGTAAACTAAAGATCATGTGCATCCACTGCACACATAATCTGAAATAACAACTCATATTTCTCGCATCAAATGACATCAAAACGCATTTTAATGGCCAAAGTAACTTTAAAATAGGCATTTTCCACCGAGAATAAAACGAAGTTCGGCCATGTTTTTTTTTTCTGCAGGGAGAAATTTGAAGATCACATGACATAGACGCCAGCAAATTTCAGAGGTGTTTTTGTAGAAATACTTCCCAAGTTGTGGACCAACGTAGTTATTACACGTTTAGATGTGAGACTGGGTTGATATATCTGAACAACAAAGTGGTCAAAAATCATTTTATTCATTTATTGGAAACATTTTCATGATCGTTTTTTTCGTTTATACATTTTAAGAATGGCGTTTATTTTTTTTGAGGATGAGTTCTTATTTAATTTTATTTATTTGGCTCTACAAATGATACAAATGTATATGTCAGTAAATGTGTGCTAACAGAGGAGGGGGTGTTTGTGAAAACAACGGGGACAGAGCTGCTGTCAGACGATCAGCTGTGCGGCGTCATCAAACGGACGTCGCTTCACGTGACGCTCCGGAGGAAAGGACGTCCCATTGCTCTTAAAACTAATTTCCCTGCTTCTCGTGGTTTCCTTGCGTCTCTCCATGCTTCCCTGGTGGAAGGGACTAGTCACAGGGAAACGACGCAAGTGAGGGACGCAAGGATTCCATTTAATCGACCTGAGATGCAGCCCCAGTCTTCTCTACAACTAATCAGCAGCTGATCGGTATCTGCCTGTGCACCTGAGTCTGACGGCTGATTGGATCCTCTCACCCTCAGCTGGCCTATCAGCAGCCAGGGCCGACCATACACTCAAAAAAACGATTCAAGCCCTTCTTAGACTTGACACATTAATAATTGTTTCACTTTACTTAAATATTTTTATTTAAGAAATAAACCTAAGTATAGTTCATTAGTGTAACACAAATTACATTAATCAATTCACTTATTAAATGTATTTAAGACAGAGCAACTCAAAATGAATTGTTTTCATTTGGGACCGCCCCTTTGCACATCACCTTTGCGCATGCACAAGATCCGTTCTGTCATTTGCCGCCTTTTGTCTAACACTGACGGTGTGAAACTGACGGTGGAAAGTCTATTATTTGGTAAGTATTTGTTTTTTCTAGTAGTTTAGAATGTTCCCTGTTTCCAAGTAGGCCTAATGCCTTTTCATTATATCGACAAGAATATTTGAAACCACCGTGTTATATTTTGCTCCGTTTTTAGTTGGGTCTAAACAGCAAGCTAGCTAGCTTGCTAGATATGGTTAGCATTGAATACTGGATAGTAGAGATCATTAGATTATATTAAATTAGATGTCACGTTATTGTCATTGAACACAGTACACCGAAATTCAGTTTAAATTCAACCAAAAAATGCAAAGAGTAATTCAAGTGCACGAGGTAAAGCTAGCTAGCTGGATAACTGGTTTGTTAGCTAGCTTGCTAGATACGGTTAGCATTGAATACTGGATAATGGAGATCATTAGATTATATTACATTCGATTTAACGTTATTGTCATTGAACACAGTACACCGAAATTCAGTTTAAATTCAACCAAAAAATGCAAAGAGTAATTCAAGTGCACGAGGTAAAGCAGCAAGCTAGCTAGCTGGATAACTGGTTTGTTAGCTAGCTTGCTAGATACGGTTAGCATTGAATACTGGATAATGGAGATCATTAGATTATATTACATTCGATTTAACGTTATTGTCATTGAACACAGTACACCGAAATTCAGTTTAAATTCAACCAAAAAATGCAAAGAGTAAGCGCCGCCATTTTCTATCATAAAGCTCAGCAGGTCTGTCCATCTCTCTCCTGGCCTTAGTGCAGGCAGAGGAGGACAGGCGGAGCCACTCGTTTCTGTAGGAGTTCAGTTGAGTTTAGTTTTTTACTGCCAAATATTTAATATAAATAATGAGATAATATATATATGTGAATCTTGTATGGGTTACCTCACTCACAAGCAGGCACCCAGAGTTGTGCAGAAACGTAGGCCTGCTTTATAAAACATGTCTACTAGACTCTTAATTTTAAAGTGTGATCTGTTATCATTTTTTTTTTGGGTTGTGCAATCTTAGGCAATTATGTGTTGTCTGTGAAAATTCAAATATATAAGCATTTTAATCACACCTCTAATATATTTATGTTGTCTTTTGCAGTTTGATCAGCATTAACAAGCATCTTGGGGCAACCTCTTATTTATGGTAAGTACACGGCTACTTTCACATTACTTGCATAAGCTGATCTGTGACATTGTCAGTTGTTCAGTGTCAATTGCTAATTCTCTTTTTTCTCTTTTTCAGGTTATGCATGTGGCAAACACTGCAGTTTGGAACTAGCTAGCAGGTATTTGTTGTTAAAACATTTCCGGCAGACACATGCACATTTAAGGGGCAGTTGTCGCTATCCATGTCCATATACTGATTGCCCATGTTCGTTTGACACATGGAGTAAACTTTTAAATCACACATACAAAACTCATGCTAAACAGCTAACACCAAAGCCAGTAGAATTACCTACATTTAAGTGTCATGTGTGCTCACGTAGAGACTTAACAGAAAAAGATTTCTTCCAACATATTAATGGACATCTCAGGCATAATGAAACTGTACCATGTATGTTTCTAGGATGCACATTTAAAACTAACATTTACAGTACATTCAACACACACAAAAATAGGAAACACAGACAACATTCACTTAAAGACTTTATAGCCAATGTTGTCAGTACAAGTGGTGAGTTGGATCAGTCACACAGTTCTGCAGTTGGTCCAACGGAGTCTGTCGATATAGACCAGGAATATGAAACACTAAGTTGTGGTGATGCTTCAGAAATACACCTTCCAAATTTAATCGAAGAAAAAATTGCATGCATTTTATTGAAGTTGGAAAATATTGTTCACATTCCAAAGACAGTTATTGATGAAGTCCTTTCTGAACTTCACTACATATTAAGTACATCATCTTTGCCTGTCACTAGAGCTATTGTTTCTGATGTATTACAGAGCCATAAACTACAGGTTGAAGATTCAGTAGTTGGTGAGCTTTCCACTGCTCTATGCAATTCTAGTCCATTGGCCACAGCTATTGCAAAGGATGGCCCTCTTGCTACAGCATATAAACGTACACAGTACTATACATCTCATTTTGGTGTTTTAGAGCCGGTTGAGTACATACTAGATGCCCAGAGGAATAGGACATTTCAATATATCCCTCTGTTAAAGTCTTTGCAACATTTGCTCTCTCATAAAGGTGTCCTTGAACATATTGAAACGCAACAGCGGCTATTGGCTGTTCCCCAAGAGTACAGAACTGTAAGAGATGGTGAGTACTATAAACAGAATTCGTTTTTTTCTGATGAAGGTTTGAGAATCTCTGTAAATCTTTATGTTGATGATTTTGAGATTTGTAACCCTCTTGGGACATCTCGAAAGACACACAAACTTTGTGGTGTATATTGGGTTTTGGGTAATTTGCCACCAGGTTCCCATTCAACACTAAACTCAATCTATTTAGCTGTTCTATGCAAATCTGATGATGTTAAGACCTATGGCTATGGAAAAGTGTTGGAGCCTCTCTTGCAAGACTTAAGCATATTAGAACAGCACGGTGTATTTATATCTCAGCTTGGTCAGTTTGTTAAAGGTTCTGTCCAGTGTGTTATAGCTGACAATCTTGGAGCCCATGGGCTCGGGGGATTTGTTGAGAGTTTTTCAGCTGGGTCAGTATGCAGGTTTTGTATTGGAGTCAAATCAGATTTTCAGACTAAGGATGTCCAGTCAGGTGCTTTCCAACTGAGAACAAGAGACATCCATGATGTTCATGTCCAGTCTGCTCAGGAGAATGCAACTATTTGCTGTGGTGTAAAAAAGCAGTGTGTTTTAACAGAGCACCTTTCCCATTTTCATGTAACTACTGGTTATCCTCCTGACATTGTGCACGACCTTTTTGAAGGTGTTGTACCAGTTGAACTGGCTCGTTGTATGAGTTTGTTGATCTCCAAAAAATACTTCACTTTTGAAAGGCTCAACACATTGATTCAGACATTTCCGTACAAATGGGGGGACAGAACCAATCGCCCCCATGCCATACCACGCTCTTTCACATCTAGAAACACAATAGGTGGCAATGCGCATGAAAACTGGACCTTAATAAGACTGCTTCCCTTTGTGATTGGGCACATTTTACCAGAAGATGAACCAGCGTGGCAGCTAATTCTAGATCTTAAGGACATAGTTGAGTTGGTTGTGGCCCCTGTTCACACAGATGAGACCATTGCTTATCTTGAAGCCAAGATCTATGATCATAGGCAGCGCTATCTTGAACTCTTTCCACATGTAAAGCTCTTACCAAAACATCACTTTTTAGAGCACTATCCGCAAATGATTCGTTGCTTCGGGCCTCTAATTGTACTGTGGACAATGAGATTTGAGGCTAAACATAGCTTCTTCAAGCAGGTTGCTCGTCACACCAATTGCTTTAAGAACATACCTCGTTCACTAGCTACTAAACACCAGTTCATGCTTGCCTATCACACACATTCCTCCAGTGTCAAGAAGTCATCCTTGGAGGTCACACATGTCTCAATCCTGCCTGTTGATGTCCTTAATGAGGGAGTCGTGTCTACACTGAAACAAAGTTTCCCAGATGTGACTGAGGTTCATATGGCAAACAATGTGTCTAGCTTGGGTATACGTTACTGCGAGGGGATGATTATTGTACACGGATCTGCAGATGGACTGCCTAAATTCCATGAGATCATTAAACTTTGCATTGTTAAGGAGAAGTTGTGTTTTCTGGTAAAAGACGCATGTGCTTGGTACAGAGAGCATTATGGTGCTTTTGAGCTGTCTGCCTCGCCCAATACAGAGGTTGCCGTTATTGAGCTTGCTGACTTGGTAGACCCCTATCCCCTTGTTGACTACATGGTTGGGAGTTTGCGCATGGTAATGTTGAAAAGATTCATCATTGTTAAAGGTGAGTATCATTTTAAACCTAAATAGTCTGAGCTCTGGATAGCAGGCTCTGACAAAAACTGTAAAACCATTTTTATGTTCATCTTTGATATAATCCTAATGTGTTTCTTTCACCTTGTTTCTGCTCTAGATTAAAAGGTGTTCCATAATGGCAGGTCGGGCGCTTCTGCGCATCATCTTTGCCGACCAGTCTGACTCTAGAAAACTGACCCTGGATTCGGGAATCCCAGCAACAGTTGAAGAACTGCACACATTTGTCAAGACATCTCTTCAATTGAAAGAGGACTTCCGTCTGCAATACATGGATGTTGACTTTAACGAGTTCATGAATCTTACATCAGTGTCTGAAATTCAGGATAAAAGCACACTGAAAGTAATTTACTCTCCTATATTGTCAAATATTGAGCCCTCCATCACTTTGTACACAGTTGACTCATTTGATAAGACCTCAATTACTGGAAGCTCAGAGCCTCTAATCCCTGAATCATCAATAGCCTCATGCTGCAGTGATGATATGGTGTATACGTCAACCCCGCATCCATCCCCTGAAGCTCAGGCCTCACAATTGTTATCCTGGCCCACAGTTTTTGTGGTTCCTAAGCTCACCTACGAGGCTGAATTTGAGCTTCATCTAAAGAATGCAGAGTTTGAGACAACTGGTACATACTTCCAGCCTGGCCTAAAGCTGAAAGGAGTCATTCTTGATGGCCTAGCCCAAGAAATGATCAAATTCACAAAATATCCGAAAGACTATCAGTGTGAAGAGGTAGCTGCAGCGTTGACGAGGGCCCACCCTTGTTTGGGGCAGCTAGGATCCAAGACAGGATTTGGGGGGTGGAAACAGTCTCTTAAGTACAAAATGCAAAACTATCGTACAAAGCTTGGCCGTCTTGGACATCCTGAAATCCTTGTGAACTCCTTAAAGCACAAGAAAACAGGCCAAGGCAAAGCTGCAGCAAACATAAAAAAAACCAAGAAAAGCTGAAGTAAACTACATTCCTCTGCACCCAAAAGGCGAAACCACAGAAAGCTTGGAGAACGAGAGAATTGCCTTATTGTCAGAACTGAAAAAGCGTGACAATGAAGTGGTGATAAAAGCAAAAATGGAAAAAACCTTCTCCCACAGACGCCTTGAGATTGTGGAGCAAAGGCCTTTGATAGGGGACTTCAAATGCAGATGGCCTGCTCTGTTTCAGCAGAGTGAAGTAAGTACATATTTGTATTTGTTGACAGTCTTTTATTATTGTCTTTTGTGATTCATGTCTACATCCTTGCATGGTTGTGATTCTAATAAACAAGTAACAATTGGTTGTATTGTGCTTGTTAATAATATTTTTAAGGTGAATGCGGAGTTTTTGAGGATCACAACATCACCACTTCAATCAAAGTTCATGTGGCAGCTGGACCACTTCTCAGACAAGCTCTTGAAGATCTTCAAGACCAAAGGAGGAGTGAAGGGGCACAAAATCAAGGAAGCCCTTGCAATATCAGATTCGGTTAGTATAAATGCAGAGAACCTCGTTTTTCACTGTATTGTTTTTGTCCATGATCATATGAACACATTTAAGAAATTGTCTGCTTTTATAGTGTTTTTAAGGCAATAGCTTATTGTGGAAATGTAGGTGTAAGGAGTCCTGCTTAGGGACACACACGACAGATACAGCCCTCTACGTTGTAAACTACCTGCTCTGTTGCACATGCATTGTGCTTAATTGTCTTTGATTTATCGCCCCTGCTTTAGTTTGAAAACATCCACATCAAGAGGGGGTGCATCCTGCGAAGCATCGCGATCTACCTCAACGAGGATCCAGACTCTTTTTTTAAGGAGTATCAGGTATGTTTATCACAATATGTTTTCAATGTATTGGTTAACAGTGTTACCCACAATTATAACCACCATTACTTACATTTATAATAAGAAAATTCTATGGCACACAACCCTATCCCTGCTTACATCTAAATATCTTATCACATATCATAAATACATGCAGAAATAAATAAATCTATACATTAATATAGGAATGAATATATGTAAGAATGAATAAATACAGAAATAAAAAAATAATAATAAATAGATACAGAAGTAATTTCATCGGGCAAGTGTTAAAATAAATATAGAAAAAAGTGAATTAATACATTTATACAGATATAAATACATCTATAAATTAACATAGGAATACAATTGATAAATACAAATGTGAATTAAAACATGAATATATCTGGAAATAAATACAAATAATAAATGAATGCTGAAATAAATATTTACATTTATATATAAATACATCTATAAATGAATAAATAAATATGGACATGAATACATATGTAAGAACTTATAAATAATTGAATAAATACATAAATAAAATAATAAATAAATGCTGAAATATATTAATCAATAGATTCATGTTTAAAAAGGTATGTGAATGCAGCAATTACTAAATTGTTAAAGGAATAATTACATAATCACATAACAAGGAAATAAATTATTAAAGAATAAATAATCAAATACATATCGAAATAAGTAGGTAAATGCATAATTAACTACAGGAATAACAACAAATTACATTATTAAGTAGGGATGTAAACAAATAATACCTGAATTAATAAATAAGATAACGTTGATAATCAAACAGAACATACAGGAATATATCTTTATAACTTATTTATGTAAACATTTTCTTACAAGCTTAATTTAGTTCTGTGTTGGAGGTCCTAACCTTCTCTGGTATCACTCGGACATTTTTGTCCAAATTGGTAATTTTTCACATCAGATTTGGCTATAATGATTTTGTGTTTTTTCTAGATACTTTTTGGAATTTCAATTTTTCTAATCGGTCTCGAATACACTGTACAAATTACCCTAATTGTCCATTTAAAAAATGTTCCCACACTTCCCAAAAAGTGTGGGGGAAAAATATTTAAATATAATATTTGTATCATATCATTTTATCATTCAAGTTTTTGAAAGTGGACATTTTTATCCTGAGTGGCCAAATAGGGTAGTACATTTGAGTGATACCAGAGGGTTAGTCTAAAACTGTTTTGATCAATTAGGAGAGCCACATAAGTAAATCTGCTTCTATAAAATGTAGTAATTCAGGTTTTAGTTAACACATGTGTTGTATGCTTGTGTCTTTGTTCAGGCCTCTGCCTCTGAAGATGCCAAGAGGGACATGGCAAACACAGTCATGGGCATATACACACTTCAAAGAGATGTGGATGGGCAGCCAGAGGACGTGGGAATTGTCATCGAAGGCAATATAGTCATGGACAACTTGGGCAGCGTGATTGTGGGGTTTGTCATGCTATTGGGACTTATTTATGCCCTGGATTTGAGCTTTCCAGACAACCTCAAACACACCTTCGAGTTCATGCAGAAGGTAGTGATGAATCTGGATGGGCACAAGCTGAATGGTAAAATCGAAAGTCTGAAGATCAAGTTGTTCGATTGAAATGTGAAAAAGAAGTGACTCATGAGTTCATTGTTGTCATTTTATTCACGAGTTTCCTAGTCAGAGCAGATTGAGCCGTTATATCAATCATTTGTTCTGTGCTTTTCTGTATTTGTTTCAACACACTGTAACACTATTTCCATATGTTGGTGTTTGCAGTGCACTCTTTATGTTATGTGTTATTGTCCTGTTAGAAGAGCAGTGCATACCCCTGTTATATTGTATTCATTGTATTTGGCAAAGGGAGATTTGTAAGTTAATTATAGGAGTTCCATTTCTCTGCCATTTTAAAAATGGTATTATCTTTCAGAAATGTTTTTCATCTTTCAGTGTGAATTCATTCATTTTAAAAAGACTGTATTGAATGGAGGATTGTTTTGAATAATGTGAATTTAAAAATAAAAAAAACTAAACCATGTTTTCTATCATGTGTAACACATTTTTATTAAATTATATTTAACCTCATTATTTCATTTTCAATTAATTAAATAGGATTTAGGTGGACTAGCATTATTTAAATTCATAAAGGTAATGTTATCATTTTACTTAAACTCTATTTGAAAAATTTGAGTTGGACTAACTCATTTACATTATACTGCATGGATGCCATTAGTTTGAGTTTGTGCCACATATATTTATTGGATGGAAAACCTGCCAACAATAAAATTGAGTTAATCCAATGAGTTATTTCTTTGAGTGTATAGGAGGCACCCAAGAAGCTTTCTCCCTCTCTCTCACCCTGGGCCTGTTGCTGACTGAGGAGCCTGAATTTGACTCTTGTTAGAAACTGATACTACTTTGTTTTTTCTGACCTTTGTGAATGTGTGTGTGTTGAGAGGTGGAGGAGTTAGGTAAGTCTGGGGTACCCTGTACATTTCTCATCACGTAGGTAACTAATGTTAGACACACTAGGTTAGCGGATTGTTAGTTAGTGAGGGTTTTTGTTTGAGTTTTGGTTTCAGAGGATAGATGTAGAGACAGGCCTGGTTTTGTTATACTTATTTATTTAGTTAGGCACAATCTCCTTTGTCTCCTCCTCCTCCTCCTCCTCCTCCTCCTCCTCCTCCTCCTCCTCCTCCTCCTCCTCCCGTTTCAAGTGGGTCGCAGATGTGTGAGTGAAGAAAATATATATCTTTTTAAATAAATATTTTCTTTTTTCTTTTTTTGGGGGGGGAAAAAAAGTTAAACTTTTATTTTGAAGGCCCGATTTTCTAACGCTGTGCATGCAGTAGGCGTTGAACTGGAAGTATCGGAGACCATGAACGGTTTTGAAAACTTCTGTCACGTAGTGATCATCTTCTCAATAAAACATCTTTGCTGATGAGTCTTCTGGCCAATCAGAATCAAGATTGTTGCCGGAAGTCCCCACGGAGAATAACTTAGCGGTAGAACTATTCTTTATACATCCATGGGTACAACTTCAGATACAAATGAACACATAATGAAATATGACCCCCGGTTTGATGATTGACAGGTCACAGAACAATGGGGGCTATCTACCCTTACCCACAATTTAAAGTAATTCACACAGACTCTTTGCTCTTCTCTCTGTGAGGAGCAGCAAGTTCAGCTGTCAGGACAAAGTGAAAAACAAACAATGGCATAAAATATTATGAATATGTCGGGTAGTAATATATTTATTTATTTTCTTCTCAGAGTGTACCAGAATGGGTAGTTTATATGTTAGTATTTCAAAAAATCTCCTGGGGGAGAATCCCCCCAGACCCCCCTTGTGGGGTTGGGTTTTCAGCATGTGGGCCTTTTTATGTTATATAGTTCAGCTTTGATTCCATCATCTCATTAAACCTTATTTAAAAGCATACTTTAGTTCTGTGAAGGGATATATGCACTGTACTTCACTTTAATTAATAATGTATGCTGAAAAGAGTATATTTTACTGTACGATTTGTTGTTGAATAGATTTGAGTGGTTCAAAATTTCGGGTCGCGATCTATTGACTAAGGAAAAAGTGGGTCCCGAGGCCTGACCAGTTGAGAACCACTTAGTCCCCTTAGTGGGGACGTAACAATCACACACATTTAAATAAAGTTCACCATATAACTCACTTCAATTCAGTTTTTTACCATAATAATTGTTGTGTTTCCGAAGAGGTAGTCACCCTATAATCTACAGTGTATCCTAGGCGTTTTCTTCCCTTCCCACTTTGTTTTCTTTGCTGTATTCTAAACGGTGGTTGTTCAGTGTTGAAGCATTCATTAGCTAACAATGACATTATTACCATTTGAAATAGAAGATATTTATTGTTCTATTAATATAAAGGGAGGTCAGTTACTCTTTAAAACAGCTGGTAGTTATGGGTACTTTTTACTTAAAGGTCCCGTGTCATGGCCATTTCCACTGATCATAATTCCATTGTTGAGGTCTACTAGAATAGATTTACATTGTTCAATTTTCCAAACTCACATTGGTTTCGCATACAGCATCTCTGTAAAGTATGTGTATTCAGCAGTATTCACTCTCTCCACTAAACGGCTCGTTGCAGCTCTTGCCCCCCCCTCCCTGTGAGCCCAGTGTGCTCCGATTGGTCGGGACGTTGTGAATCGCGCTGAGCTCCGTGGAGGTGTTATTTCGTTGTTTAGCGATACACAGCGAAACACAGCCAAACTCATCCTGAGCACACACAAAGTCACAGCCGAAGTAAAAACAATAAGTGTGGCTTGATATTGAGTAAGAAAAAGGTTGATAAACGCTGTGAGAATGGGTCTGCAGAGAGAATGGGTCTGCAGAGAGAATGGGTCTGCAGAGAGAATGGGTCTGCAGAGAGAATGGGTCTGCAGAGAGAACGGGTCTGCAGAGAGAATGGGTCTGCAGTGAGAATGGGTCTGCAGAGAGAATGGGTCTGCAGAGAGAACGGGTCTGCAGAGAGAATGGGTCTGCAGAGAGAATGGGTTTGCAGAGAGAACGGGTCTGCAGAGAGAACGGGTCTGCAGAGAGAACGGGTCTGCAGAGAGAACGGGTCTGCAGAGAGAACGGGTCTGCAGAGAGAACGGGTCTGCAGTGAGAACGGGTCTGCGGAGAGAACGGGTCTGCGGAGAGAACGGGTCTGCGGAGAGAACGGGTCTGCGGAGAGAACGGGTCCTGCGGAGAGAACGGGTCTGCGGAGAGAACGGGTCTGCGGAGAGAGAACGGGTCTGCGGAGAGAACGGGTCTGCGGAGAGAACGGGTCTGCGGAGAGAACGGGTCTGCTGAGAGAACGGGTCGGGTCTGCGGAGAGAACGGGTCTGCGGAGAGAACGGGTCTGCGGAGAGAACGGGTCTGCGGAGAGAACGGGTCTGCGGAGAGAACGGGTCTGCGGAGAGAACGGGTCTGCGGAGAGAAGGGGTCTGCGGAGAGAATGGGTCTGCGGAGAGAATGGGTCTGCGGAGAGAATGGGTCTGCGGAGAGAATGGGTCTGCGGAGAGAATGGGTCAGCAGAGAGAATGGGTCTGCAGAGAGAATGGGTCTGCAGAGAGAATGGGTCTGCAGAGAGAACGGGTCTGCAGAGAGAATTTTGCCGCGATCCCAACTGTCTGTTATCAGCCTGCAGCCAGGGAGGAGAAATCAGCAGAGCTGCTTGCACTGAGTGTGTATGTGTGTGTGTGTGAGGAAGTCCGTGGATTGGTCAATTTGGACCAATCAGCGGGGTCTTAACGTAACGGCTCCACGGATTGGTCCATTTCGTTCCGGGGACGACATGACATCATGATGTACCCAGAAGAATCAAATGGACAGTGACGTATCTCCAACGAGGCGTTTTGGGGAGGTATTTTCTGTGTTAGAGTTTTACTCGCTACATGGTGTACTTTGAGGGTTGTGACTCTGCACACCGTTTACATGCATAAAAACCTTCATAACAACAAGGGGACGGGTAATAACCGGAAAAGCATGACATGTCACCTTTAAGTACATTTCGAAGCCCATACTTCTTTACTTTTACTTGAGTATAGAAGTTTAGTCAGTACTTCTACTTTTACCAGAGTATTTTTAAACACACAAGTATCTGTACTTCTACTTGAGTAAAGGATGTGTGTACTTTTGCCATCTCTGCCTTCAGCTAAGCGCTGGTGACTTGATGTCACAGTGATGTAGTTTGTTTATAGTCATATGTGAGCTTTTTTCTTCTGGTTTGCATTTTCGCTACAAAAATCATCAAGTGGTGTTGTTGGTGGAAATTTCTCTGATGAATATCATGTGGAAATAACATAAACGTCCTCTTAGTTTCTGCAATATGCCAAAATAGAAGGGAAAAATTCCATTGCTTTATGTCGAGGGAGTTTCAAATGCTAACTTTTGGGTCGGCCTACAAAAATAATTCATCACTGCACCACTATTTAGGCTACCAAAGACAGATCCCACAGATTAGGGTGAAAACACAAAAAAGAGCATTGTCTGCAAAATATACGCCTAAGTATGAATTTATCTTCATTATTGAATTGTTTTGTTTGTGCTTTTGGTTCATTCTAGGCAGGTACCGTTGTCTTTGGCTCATTACTTTGATTTCATATATTTATCAATATGTTGGTAGATAAATACAATGATTACAAAAACAAACCTGAGGCCCTTCAACATAGATTGCTAGCATAATGTTCCGTCTTTGAACAGCAATACATTATGGAATGTCACATCTATTGTTTTATATCTAAGTGTATTAGATATAATCTAGGAGTATTTCAACAGAATTTATATTTGCACGGTGATTCGAGTAGTTACATTACAATTTTGTGTAGTTAACTTATAAACTATTTTGGAGCATAACAAATTGTAGGCCTACTTATCTTTTTACCATTCCTTCTATATGTCAATTGTTTGTTGTCCCTAAATAAATAATAATTAATGACCTGTGAACAAGGCATTTTGTTATAAACTCGTTTATTTTATTTAACCCTTAGATGCATAAGTGGGTCTTTGGACCCGGTGAGGTGGTTTTCTTAGAGTATCTTTGTAATTACATTTTTGTATCATTTCATATTCCAGCTATTACTCAAAAAACATGTTTTGGATATCATGCCATTCAAATTTTAAATTTAAATTTTAAGAAATTATCAAAAATTGTCAAAAATGACCCGCATGCACTTTCTATGGAATTTCGTTTTTTTTTCAAAATATAATTTTTTTTTCAAAATGTAATTTAATATAAAATATTTCTAGTGTGAACCAAAATATAATACTAAATATTATACAAGTGATTTTTCTTAATCAAAATGACAAAAATGGCATAAAAAAACATATATTATTCTAATACGGGTCCTTTTTGACCCACTTAAGAGTGTAGGGTCCAGTCACTCGTGCATCTAAGGGTTCTTTAGTTAGCCGAACTTCATTTGTCTAGGGTAGCTTTGCTGTAGTTCAACTTCTTCCTGTGTGAATACATGTTGGTGGCTTGCAAAGCTATGCCCTCAAATAGCTTTCGCAACACTGAATATATGCAACAAATGAATTTAGAGCAGTGTGCACGTAAAGAGCAACTGCGCTTTTGGATAAACAAAAGGTGCCAATAGATGTTCTCTATGATCGCTGCTTACAGTCTGAACTGAGCAGCATCTTTCTGAAGGTGTGTCTGAGCTCGGCGCTGCGGAAGGCGTAGATGGCCGGGTCGATGGCGGCGTGGCTCATCATCAGCACCATGTGCAGCTCGAACAGGGAGCGGTAACACTCACAGTACGGGTTCATGGGGCACACCATGATGAGAATGAGGTGGAGGAAAAACGGCGTCCAACACACAACGAACGCCCCAAACAGGATGGTCAGAGTCAGGGCCCCTCTCATGCTGCTGCCCCTCCACCGCTGGCGGCCAAACTTCCCCCCACTGCTGCTGGGCAGGGCAGCAATCTTTCCGGCATGGATGCGTGCCATCATGAACATGTAGAAGTAGAGGAAGCAGATAATTGCCAAGGAGACGACAAAGAAGGCAACAAAGCAGATCATGATGAACTTGGATTGGAAGAACCCCACCATGAGCACGGCTGACACCCCGCATGTTATCCAGATTACCCCCAAGATAGCCTTTGTGCGCCGCATAGTCATGATGTTGTGGTATCGCAGAGCATGGAAGATCGTGATGTAGCTGGAAAGAAAAACAAGTGATTCTATTATATGCTCAGTTAAGATTTTGGCCTTGTGTTACACTTGTGCTGTACACTGCATAAATAATGTGTATAAGGTCCAACTGAAATCTCATTAAGCTTGTTGTCAAAATCTATGCCTCACCGGCAAACTGGAGAGACACATTTAGCAACTATGGATAATTTGATGAATGAATTTCATGCATGTTTAGAGTCACTTCATATTTGTATACCATACTCGCATGATCTGAAATGAGTGGCTGTGTGGAAGGTGTAACATATTGTAAACCAGGTACTACTAGAAAGTGACACTTACAGTCCTTCTGGTAAAGCGTGCATGCAATATTGCAGTGGGCTTTAAATGAGCTCTGGATCTATGAGGCAGAGCCCTGAGGAAAGTTCAGACTTTCACCAAATTCTCCCCAGAGTCCTAGTTAGTGAGGCCTGATGAATTTAAATATGAGCAGAGGATAATTGGTTGTAGGGTCCACAGTCCACAGAGAAGCTAAAGAGCACAGCAGTAAAATGGAACTAAACTGCTTTGCAACGGGATTCTGGTGTATTAGTGGGGTGGAATAAATGTATACCATCACAGATGCAAGTCCACCCCTCATTCTTTGAAGCATATGGTTTAAAAATGCTGGAAACGTGCAAATCAAAGCCATTCATACATACCGGTCCACAGCAATAGCCAGGAAACTGCTAATGGAGCCAACGAAGGACATACACAGCAAGGAGTCCATCACATCATCCAGTTTCATCTCAGAGGAACCTTTCTTCTCCAGCTGGCCCACGTTGGCAAACACAATCATCAGGGTCTCCCAGGTCTTAGTGAGGCTGGCCATGGTGTTGAAGGCTGCCAGGCTGCAGATGAAGCAGAACATGGGGGAGTGGAGGTTCCTGTTGAGTATGACGGACACCACAACCAGCAGATTCTCAGCCAGGCTCACCACACCGATGGTGAAGAAGAGAGGGACAGGAACCTTCACGTCGGGGCAGTCCGTCTGATTCACTGTGGTGGTGCTCATAGTTAGCCAAGATAGTTATCTGTCCATATTAGAAAGAGAACCATTGCAAGAAAAATGTTAACATGTCATGTTTATTCTTATCTAAGTGTTGGACTAGATTACACTGCAGCTAATTATATATTGTGTCAGTCATAGCCTTGGCTTTTACAGTATCTTGTTTTTTAAATCCTGCCGTTCTCTTCTACTCCATGCTTAGTGTATGTTCTGTGAGAAGCAATGACTAGAGATTCAATCTGAACCAAAGTGGTTGTTTTCTCAGCTGATACAACGTGCTTCTTACTCCGCTGGGTTATCACACACGTGGCAATGGTTGCAGCGAGCTTCGAACTGCAGCTGGTTTATCCATTTTGACAATTTTCACATAGGCCTCCTGAATGTGCTATTTTTAGTGGGTGGTTTTGGCACAGCTCAGTCATCATGTAAAGCCATGTGGTCACAATTGCCTTTCTTTGGCTTTTTACACAGGGGACGTGTAATCAATGTCTTTCTGTAGGTGTTTTTGTTTAGATGGTGAATGTTTTCCAGGGCTTACAGTCACACAGTCAATAATTGACCAAGTGGTGAAACCAGATTGCAGGACAGTGGTTCTCGATGCAGGCCTTTTTAACCGTGCCACTCACATCCTGTGTACTTTCTCTTGAAGCTTGTAAGAAGGTTTTCCTGATGCATCTCCTGTGGAATGAAACATTTCAAAACTCAGTTAAATCCACAGGTTATACTCCTGCCCCTGTTAATGTGGGACTTGCCTTCCTATGCTTCACATAATACGTTAGGTATGAACTACAGATCATTCTTGCTATCACATCAACTGCAATGCTAAATATCATCACATGTTACAATGATTACACTCACAGACTAACAAGGAAAAAACACTACTGGAGTTGTTGTCTACCTGTATTTGCTCTAATGAGTAGTGTTACCTTTAATCCATCTGACTATGATCTGGATCTGTTTTGTTTCTTTGTAAGCTCAAAGAAACAAAAAACAGATTGTCATGAACTTAGTGTTTGCATTACATTTTTTCCTTTGAAATTCTTAATTCACATAACTAATAGTGTTATTTTAAGACATAAAACCTTGGCGTGCATTTAAATGATGTAGCGTATCAGCCTGGGATCAATCGATCTCATTTTTAGCTGTTGTTTGTTGCTTTTAATTCATCAGCACCTGCTAAGCTAACTGTCCCAGCCTGAAGCGCATGATGCTGTGCGTTATTGTTTGGGGTCAGGCAATGACAACATGACTCATAATAATTGTATCCTTCCTGAGCATTAAAACAAAAATAGTAGTTGGTCAAATATAACCTCTCTTTAGCCTCCTTGGCTCTCCCTAGGCACACAGCATGACAGCCTTCAGTGGCATATTTTCAGCTCGATGCGCTAAATAAAAATGTCAATGCAGTTGTTCAGAGAGTGACAAGTTGTCGTTTCTGAACTGCAGGAAGCCATGCTTGTTGTCTCACACATTACATGCTGGAACATGATTTTACAGAGAATCTTTCCTCAACTCAAAACATGTTTAGTTTCTCCAGTGTAGTGTCTGTGTCCCCTTTCCTTTATCAATTAGGGAATAGCATTCAAAATGGCTAAGGAAGGTGGTCAAACTGAACGTCTTCTGCAGGTCCTTCTGGAGTGTTTTCTGCCAGAGGCTTTTGATTTTCTAGAACTGAGTTCACAATCAAAAAAAGACTGAAGAGTGGAGAGTATTTTCTCATTGAACCAGCATCAGTGAGGGGAGGAAGTTGTATCTCACACAGGCTCCGCCCTCTACTGGATTCTATGGGTACTACTCTCAACCATGCTATGCGAGCATTCACCTACTGAGTTGCATAAACGTAGCTGGCCAATCGGGGCGAGCCTACCTGAATGCACGCGCAGCACACAGGCTACGCCTCCTGACTGTCATATGTTTCTCTTCAGTGAGCAGGACAAGACCTGACAGAGGAAAGTAAAACGTTTGAAAGAAGAAGAAAGAAGTTATCATACCTTCATGGAGTCACCACTAATAGAGACCCGGGCCTGTCCTTCGTGCCCTGGCTTAATAGTGGGCGCCGATCCCCACCATCTCTGCTTTGATTGTTTGGGGGACCAGGATATGGCCGAGGCGGTGCCATTCACGTTCGCCATTCCAGCGGGGCGAATGGCTCCGTTTGCCGGGGAGGAGGATGACGAGGACTTCTCGTTGTCGGGCACTTCCGGGTCCGTCATCCATGGAAGTCCACCGCCCATGGAAGTCCACTGCCCAGGTCTGTCCGCCAGGACTTCCCCCTGGTGATGACCATGGCGGCGGAGCGTGGCAGCCATCTGCTCCCACAGGCAGCAGGCTGAGAACCTCTGCCCCGCTGCCACGTGACAGGGCGGCTGCAAATAAACACGGGTGTGTTGGGCGTCTCACTGATTGCTCTTCCGCAAGATGCCCCCACCTCACCGGATCAGCAGCATCGGCCAAATGAATATCCTGGTCCACGGTGTAGCCGCCGCTGCTTGCCGTGTGATGTCCCTGGCCACAGTGGGATCACGCAGCATGGCACTTTAAAAAAAAAAAAAAAAAAAAAAAAAAAAGACTGATGAGATCATGCGAGAGGGGCCACGGGGCGTTCAAGGACCTCCGCAGAAAATCGGCCCTTTTATTGTCGGTTCCCCATAAGCCAATCTTCCTTTCATGGAAGGTTTGGCGGAGGAGACGGCCACCAGAGAGTACCACCGCTTCTTAGCTGCGGCTCCACAGCTGCTTGCATGTCCCCTAAAACACAGTTTTATGGGGAATGGAAGCTCAGCTGTGTACTGACAGAGTGAATGGACAGGACAGTGAGACTGGGCTACTCACTCCAGTTCTGCAGCGTCCCTCCTCCATTCAGGGGTGTAAGAGAGGCAAATATATCATCCTAGGAGGAGATAGGTTTCCTTTCAAAAGAAATTCAGGCCCTGTTCCAAGAACAGTGGGTTACGTATTGTAACCCTAGTTCTAGAGTGATGTGTGTGAGAAAAATGCATTCAATAGAAACGATTGCATTAATCCCAGAGTAAGAGTCATCTCTTTCCACATTTCCCCATAAATGTCTCGTTGAAATCGGCAGGATCCGTTTCATACGATGTTAATTGGGCACCCATTATGAGACACAATTCCCCACTCACCGCCCCAGTAAAGGAGGCAGCCAGTGGGCTGTGAGTGTGATAAACCGCAGGAAGTGCTGTCAAAGCGCTGTGCGGGTGCAGGGACATTATGGCTGGCGTGTTGTTGTCAGAAAACACACCTCGCCTAGTGTAATAGCTCCGATTGATGCATTTCACCGTCTGTGTGAAGAGGACATTATTGCGGCTTTCACACCAGCGCTTTTCCCTTTCAAGCTCCGAGCGGGAGCTTTTCTGGTTCAGCTCTGGTTACCCTTTTCTGCTCCCGCTCTGTTCACACCGCCCAGAGCTGCCGCTGCTGCGTCATGACGTCACCGTTTACGTGCCTGCTTCATAAAATCCAAACCGCGCGGAAATCCCTCACATCGACAACAACAACAATGGCCGATTGTATTGAAGCGCTGTTCGCTTTGGTTATCCTCTTACGAAACAAAATGGAAGGCATCGGACGACTTTACAAGGGACGACTTTACTTGGAACTTTACAAACATCACATGCGAAATGCAAGACTTCTTTGTGGTCTTCAGCATCTACTTCAACGAGATGCCCCTGCCCCCGCCTCGACGTAAGAGAGACGTAAGCGACGAAGCTCTTGCCTCTAGACCGACAATTTTTTGGAGCTGGAAGTGAACCGGATTCCGGAGTTAAGAGGCGGCGCCTCTGTGGTGTGAACAGGAAAAACCGGTACTTTTCAGGCTCCAGCTCCGAGCCGGAGCTGAAAACGCGTTGGTGTGAAAGGGGCATATGACGGGGCTCGCGGGCCCCCGAGAGCATGTTGCGGTGCGTTCAAGGACCTCAGTAGAAAATCGGCCCTTTCTGTGTCAGCCCCCCATGGGCCAATCTTCCTTTTATGGAAGGTTTGGTGGCGGAGTGGGCCACCAGAGAGTGCTACAGCTTCTTAGCTGCGACTCCACAGCTTTCCTATGCCGCTCGCTGAAGAGGGTGTAGGATGACAGTCAGGAGGCGTAGCCGGCTTATATACTGTGGGCCTGCGCGCGCATTCAGGTAGGCTCGCCCCGATTGGCCGGCTACGTTTATGCAACTCAGTAGGTGAATGCTCGCATAGCATGGTTGAGAGGAGTACCCAGAGAGTCCAGTAGAGGGCTCCGTCTGTGCTTATATAACTAGGGTTACAATACGTAACTCCCCGTTTCAGGGTCATGGTGCTGTGCGTTCTCTCACTGTTCACTTCACTGGCTGTGATAAAATATGATATTATATTCCTCAGCTTCTACTGCACTTTCACTAAAGAAAGGTCCGCCACACGTTCCATTCACTGCTTAGACTTTGTTTAGAAGAAAAACGACCACTCATACATATTGTTCACAGTCTCTCTGGGTTTTATTGACAACATAGTGACAGCTAAATTATCTCCTCTGGTGGCTCTGGTGTGTGTGTGTGTGTGTGTGTGTGTGTGTGTGTGTGTGTGTGTGTGTGTGTGTGTGGTGTGTGTGTGTGTGTGTGTGTGTGTGTGTGTGTTGTGTGTGTGTGTGTGTGTGTGTGTGTGTGTGTTGTGTGTGTGTGGTGTGTGTGTGTGGTGTGTGTGTGTGTGTGTGTGTGTGTGTGTGTGTGTGTGTGTGTGTGTGTGTGTGTGTGTGTGTGAGATCGATTCACACCCAGGTCAACACTCTGATGTCATCAAACATAAGGTCAGATAAACCCTTGGGGTAAATTGGCAGGTTATTGATTAATAATAAAATGATATTGATTCCCTGCAGCAGGACATAAATGATTCCCATGATGATCATCATCCTCTGTTTACTGATTGCTGGCAGTTAACATGGGAAGAAATCTGGAAACATTTAAAATATATATATATTTATACACATGCAAGTATATGCTCCATCCATGAACTGAACTTATTTGCATCACCTCACTTCAAACCTGTCTTCTATCACCGTCTGCGTGTTTTATACACACACTTTTTCTCAGATAAAAAAAAACACTAATGCATTAAACGCCCCCTGCAAACAATACATACACATACACATACATTACAGACATACAATAGTTTTTGACAACTAACGCAAACTTCACAATGCTGTGCAGAACTGAGAGCATTTGGGACAATGGAATCAGGTTTGTTTCATAAAGATAAAGCAACACTTTCTTAGAATCAAGCAAAACTAAGAGTTTAAGAGAACAAAAAACCGAGTCAAGCTAAATAGATTTAATTTCAAAAATAAAACTATAAGTTGCAAACAAATCATTTGTGTATCATGTAAACTATATGTATTTTTTTATTGTTTTAACATTGGCTACTCAGTGTTTGAGTGACAGCCCACTACACCACAGATCGTACAGTGCAACTCATGCAACAAACTCCGGAGTCCACTCGGCCACGTTAGTGTTGGTGCACTGTACAATCGCCGGAGGACTAGGCTGTCACTCAAAAACTGAGTATGCACCCCTGAAAGTCCCGCCCACCTGGGATGTTTGTGCCAGAATCGAAAAAACAAAAAATGAGAGAGCAAAAGTCTGATCATTGAAAAAGAAGGAAAGAGAACTGCAAACAAAAAGATATGTTAAAACAAAGAAAAAATACTTATAGTTTACATCAGGGCTATTCAATTACACATTCAGCTGGGCCAGACATTCAGCAGCCTGTAAAAAGCGGGTAATGACACATTTTAAACCAACACATATTACTGCGATGAAAAACATGCCATTTGTATTAATTGTTCATCTAACAAAGGTATGTCAAAAAGTGCATAAACACACAACAAATTAGCATTAATTTAACAGAATCTGAGGCATCTTAAAGTGCATAAAAAAAACAAGTGCACAGTTGTAGCATTATAATTGTTTGCTTTAGAAGTCAAATATTCAGGGTTTTTTTTTTAACCAGGCACATCACGAAGTGCATTTAACTGAATACAATAATAGCAGTCTTAATAAATGTCCTCACATACAAAATAAAATTGGATAGCTACTTATGACACATGCACATCAAAAAGTGCATTAACAAACAGTTAAAGAGCTCCAATGTAACACAAAGAGGTAGTACTGTAACAATACTATTTTTTCACTTTTCAAGTAATAACAAAAAAATCATACGTTTTGGTCTAATTTGACCTGACACATTACAAAGTGCATTTAAATACAAAAAGGACTGTCAAACCCTTCAGTGCACAAACCCATAACAAGGGATAAGGGTAACTAACATACTGTATGAATGAATACTACACGTCTACTCGCTGACTTTCTCAATGGGAGAAGTGACATTTTTAGTTTTGAACAAGAGCAGTGATTTTTGGCTCATAGGATGTCAATGCAATCCTAAGACATTGGTGAAGAGTGCCGTCAGTCAGGGAGCAGCGAGTGCTACTTTTGATTGAGTTAATGTGTGAAAAGATTGACTCACATGCATGTGTATGTTGATCCAAACATACTGAGCACACAGATCGCTACTTTCTGAATGAAGGGAACTGCTGTTTGTTGACGTCACTCCAAAACTTTGCGCTGCTCTTGTGCCATGGTTACGGATGAATGCATGTCAATAATTCCAGTATAAATGTCCCCTCGTCGATGGAGGGGACCACTTCCTTTGCTCTGGTTGATACGTCCCCCTCTAAGCGTCTTTGAGTTGTGAAAAGCGCTATATAAATAAAATGCATTATTATTATTATTATTATTATTATTGCAACAGTGAAGGGGTCTCTGGCAAAGCCCATCACCTCTGTGGGCAGAGCAAGTCCATCCACCGGCAACGTTCTCTTTCAACCTCGCAATGAAATCTGTCATCACATCCGTGATTTGTGCCGGGGATGTGATGTGTTTGCGGAGCGTCGGAAAATGTAGCATCCGACCTGTACTCAAGTCGGTCGCGAAAAGGTCCAGCTTGACTTGGGCAATGACTCGCGCATCTGCTCCACAAGATCAATGACCGATTTGTCTTTGTTTACGCTTCAGAGTTGAGAGAGACATGTTTTGGAGTTGCCATCATAGGACCACCGTTACTAGCACCACTAGATGCACTTTCAAAAAACGTGCTGCGTTGTGGTTTGGTGGTTTCTATGCAACGCGGAGTGTTGCGTTCATGGTCTGTACTAGTGTAGGAATTTGGCCACGGGAGGCTGGGCCACTCGGGAGTTGGTTCTGGGCCGCATCTGGCCCGCGGGCCGCCATTTGAATAGGCCTGGTTTACATGATACACAAATGATTTGTTTGCAACTTATAGTTTTATTTTTTAAATCAAATGTATTTTGCTTGACTCAGTATTTTTTTCTCCTAAACTTTTAGTTTTGCTTGATTCTGAGAAAGTGTTGCTTTATCTTAATGGCACACACCTAATTCCATTGCCTTAAATGTGCAGCCCTGCAAGAAGCTCGGTACTTTATAATTCAGCCCACTGTGAACCCTGCAAAC